GAGGTTCTCCCATGTCGCAAATTTGCTTGATCTCGTATATATCATTTATTTTAAGTTAGGAAAATATTTCCTCCTACAAATTGAAAAAATATTAGTAAAAGTTAATAACATTTTTAAATAACGACTATAATTCAAGATTTTTTAAATAAAATTATAAATGGCCAAATGCCTACAATAAGTGGGCCTAAAGATCTCATATAAAATTTATGGGGAAAAAAATCAATAGTGAACCCCCCCCCCTCCTAGCAAAATCTTGGATACGCCTATGAGCAGGATTGTTATATTAAATATCAAAGAAAATCTTTATAAAAAACTATTAATATTGCAGCTTACAATACAAAAAACAGGATATAGAATACATTTAAACTGATCTATTTTTAATAAGCATTTTAATTGGATAAGTTTTAAAATTAAACATTCATTATTTTATGAACGCCTTATAAAATTAAAATTGACTGAGTTTAATAAAAGAAACAAATTTGTAAAATTTTTGTTCTGAGGGCAATATTTTTTTATTTAGGCCGAGTATTGTTAAAAAGCCCGATTTGGGTCTATTTTTATGACCCGATTAAGATTGTAGATATAATAATATTATGTAAGCATCGAAATTTGGCAAATAGATGGTCAAACATTTCTACAAGATATGTGCATAATTTTTAGTCTTACATGGTTATTTTGGTTATGATATTAATCAGGCTGTTTTTAAAAATCGTCCCGAGTCGGGGTTTTTAACAACACTAGGCCTCACCCTCAAATGCTCTCAATCGCCCGATATTTTATTATAGGGTAATTTATTAATTTTTTTTATTAATTTGAGATATACATAGGTTTATAATAAATTTATGGGTTGCCAGGTCTCATTCCATCAATGGGCTCCCACAATTTTAGTTTACAATCAAACATCTCACTCTCGCAAAACTACCGTATTTTGAAATATGCCGCAAAAGTCTATCGCAATTTTTAAATTTCTTCCGGACAAATTTTTCTAACATTTTAGCCTTTTTTTAATAAATAAATAATAATTTTGAGAAACAATAATTGATTATTTTTACATTTTTAAAATAAATTTTAAATATTTATTCAAAAAACATATCTAGTGTGTAAATTTCTTTCCTTTTTATCCTTACCTTAATCATATATCCTTACCTTAATCATATGTTTATTTTTATCCAATAATAAATCATCATCATTCATTCATATTTTATCATTTTCATGTGTGGTAATTTTGAAATTATAAAACATTACCTGTTTTGTTAATATTTATATAAAGTGAGATAACTAAGCAATTTGCAATATTTTTTAGCAATTTTTATATTTCTACCGCATTAAAAATTTTAATCTGTTAATATACATTCTAATTAATCAAAGATAAATACTTATATTTATGTTGTTTTTTCTTAAATATTATCTAATTTTTAAAATCTTTAAATCTTTTTTCCTAAATATTAATTAAAAATTTTAAAATATTGTAATTAAGCTTAATATTTGACTTTTTCTTAAATTATTTGAAATTTTCTTAAATTATTTGAATTTTTCTTAAATTATTTGAATTTTTCTTAAATTATTTGAATAAATTATTTGAATTTTTCTTAAATTATTTGAATTTTTATCTGAGATTTGTTAAATAATTGAGAATTATTTCTAAAGATAACTTATTTATGTAATATGATATAGCGAATCCCCCTCTAAATGATATATATATAATAGAGCTACATTAGGGAAATCCCATTTACATCTAATTGGATGTTAAAATATTTGGAGAGAAATAATATGGGAAGCCCTTTATGCGTTTGTGAGCAAGCCAGACCTACTTTTAGATGCAACAATGCAAAAACTTTTGTTTAAACGTATATAGGCAAAGCAAAAAGAATTGAGCAAAAACAAAAAGCCATACCCGAGAAATACAGTAAAATGTAATTGTTTTAAAGATAGGAGGTAGTTGATTTTAAGCTTAAATTCCTTAGTGTAGTCTCAAATAATTACTATGGATATTAAGAGATTTAATATATCATATTATTTTATTTGAATTATTCAAATGATTAAAATTTGAAGAGAAAGAAGGATGAGTCTATAATAAATAATTTATTTTATTTAATATAACTAACTTTTACAGAATAATAACAACCTATATATATATTTTTATAAACTAAAATTAAAATACAATATTAAAAAGGTTAACATAAAAAAATAAAATTGTAACAAAAATAAAAATATAATTTGAATAAACATAATGAATGTACGTTATATAAAATTAAAACATATTACTATTCAATAACCAAAATATTTTAATTTATTAATTCCTATAATGTAACATTCTCCTTCTTCTAAAAAACCTTCCCAATATCATCTAAGAAGTCATGGAGAGTTTGTTGTCCAAATGGTTTATCGTTTTGATCATCAAAATGTTTAGTCCAAAAGTCATTATATCGTTGGCTTGTCCAAATCGTTTATTATATTTGTACGTAGGTTTGTTTAAATCGTAAGCTTGTTATCCATATCTTATGTTGTCCTTACAAATCGGGAATTTGTCATATATCTTACTTGTCATACTCAGTTGTTATTATTATCATTTTTCAAAATCGTTATTATCAGTAAGTTGCGAATAATAAGAAATAATAGTTCATCAAGATATAAAAATAAATGACGAATGATAAATCAATAAGATTGTTATATAATATTTTTAGCGTTTTAATTTTTAGCGTTATAATAACTTAATTTTTTCGCGTTTGGGTCTCCAATTTATTTTTTCGCGTTTTAGTGTTAAATTTATTATATTTATAAATTAATATTTTCAATCCTGAGGTTTAAATATGCAAATAAAATATCACGCACATTTCCCTCTCTTAAAAAAAATTTAAATTTCACACAATATTTTTCTAAAATGATGATGTTTAGTTTTTACATAACATTTGTCCAAGGCTTTAAATTTCAAAAACTTTTTATCACTTAAATTTATAATTTTCTAATATGCATTATTATATTTTTTTATTTAATCATATGATTTTTATCTATTAAATCTATTAATTCATATGTTTCAATTCAATTACATTTTGATAAATCATATTTCTTGTTTAGGATTTTTAATGGTTTAACTTTGTAACATTTTTAATTAAGAATTCATCTTTAGGTAATTCAGTTAATTTACACAATTGGTCATAATTCAAGAAATCAAAAATATCAATAGGCATTTCACTAAGAAATTCATCAAGCAAATAATTTTTTAAAGCATTTTATCATCTTTGGTCATAATTCAAGACAAAAATATCAATAGGCATTTCACTAAGAAATTCAAAATATCAATTGGCATTTCACTAAGAAATTCAAAATATCAATAAGCATTTCACTAAGAAATTTAACTGTTAATTCATTATTATGTAAATATTTTTTAAGGCTTTTTATGTATTCAAATATGTCTATTATGATTGATTTACATTTAAGTTATTTTAATAAGTAAATTTACAACTTGCCTTTATCTCGGCATAAAATTTTAATTTATAATAACTTTTCTTCTTACGTGGATTTAGAATTATTAGTAAATCATCACTGGTCTCACTATATAGAATTCATAGCCTATCACTCAACTTCCAATCAGTTCTTTCTAGGTTGTCACATTAGGTTAGGTGCTGGTTATCATATTCCAGTCCAACATCCAGAGCCAGGACACATGAAGAAAGAAGCTTTTTGCATGAAAGAACGTGCTAAGGTATGATTCTTGGTCATCTTAATAAATTAGGTAGTCATCTCAATAGATTAGGCATTGGTCATGTCAATAGATTAGGTAGTCATCTCAATAGATTAGGTAGTCATCTCAATAGATTAGGTAGTCATCTCAATAGATTAGGTAGTCATCTCAATAATTAGGTAGTCATCTCAATAGGTAGTCATCTCAATAGGTAGTCATCTCAATAGGTAGTCATCTCAATAGGTAGTCATCTCAATAGGTTAAGTGGTCATCTCAATAGATTTGGCATTGATCATGTCAATAGATTAGGTAGTCATCTCAATAGATTAGGCAGTCATATCAATAGATTAGGTAGTCATCTCATTCTAGTCCACCACCCAGAGCCAGAGCACCATGAAAAGAAAGAGAGATGAGCTTAATTTTATTTAATATAACTAACTTTTACAGAATAATAACAACCTATATATATATTTTTATAAACTAAAATTAGAATACAATATTAAAAAGGTTAATATATAAAAATAAAATTGTAACAAAAATAAAAATATAATTTGAATAAACATAATGAATGTACGTTATATAAATTAAAACATATTACTATTCAATAACCAAAATATTTTAATTTATTAATTCCTATAATGTAACAAAATTTAATGTATATTAGTTAACTTCTATGTTCCTTCAAAATTAGTTCATATAAACAAAATACTTTACAATACTCTAATTTGCGCCATTATATGAATGTATAAAAAATAAATTCTGATATATTAACAAATTATAATTCTGATAACAAATTACGTGATATACGTGATATATAGCGCTTTTGCCCTCTAACGTTGAAGATTCAACAGAGCTACGCTAGGTTTTCCTCATTTCCATCTAATTGGAACAATTTAATTTGGGTATAAAAATAAAAATATGAGGAGCCCTCCACACGTTTGTGGGCAAGCCGCACGTACTTGTAGGCACAACATTTCGAAAAATGTTGCTTAAACCTCTATAGGCTTTAATTTAGAAGGAGTGGGACAAAGAAAAAGCCTATACTTGAGAACTACAGTATAATTTAATTATTTTAAAGGTGGGTGATGACTGATTTTAAGCTTAATTTCTTTAATGTAAGTTATATCTGTAAATAAATATGATTAAAATAAAATAATATTTACCACCGGACGAACCGAACCCCATTTTTTTTTACTTTGATACTGATAACAAATTTAATCCGGAGTTGTAATTTAGCTATGTCAAATATCTGTCATATCTGACATTCAATTTTCTAATTTTAGTAATTTAAAAAATTTCAAAATTCCATATGATTATTTCTCACGTTTTCTGAAAATCTTAATGATCATGCTTAATCAAGATTATGATATTCCTTCTGAGTTATTAGCCAAAATAGACTCGGTAAAATTTAGAAAGTCAAAATATATCTTATATAACATAGATATTACCAAGCGAAGATCCATTAGACTCAATAAGTTTCAATGAAGTGGATTATATTAATCAATTATTTCCAACTGAACAATCTTTAGGTAATATCGATGAAATAATTGCAAAGTTTGAAGAAAATATAAAGTAACACAAATAAATTATATGTTTATACGTTTTTTTAAAGAATCTTGGACAATGAAATACGCCATAGCCTTCATGAACAAATGAATACCGAGGTTGAAGGTTTGAAAACGTTAGAAAAAGCTAAGAGCTACATAAAAGATCTCTCTTCCCAGATAATTGATATAAAATCTAAAGCAGAGACATCTGAAAATATGGTTTTTTTAGATTTTTATACTAACACAAATTTTAATTATATAAATAAATTTATTGATAAGATGCATGCTCATTAAAAAATCTTAATTTTTTTTTGTTTTTTGTGGAGGTGCTTGTTTTAACTCAAATTTGAGTTCATGGCATTTTTTAAACTTTGGCTTGAAATACTTTATACAATATAGTTTCAAAATATAGAAATGCTCCATTTTTAATATATATTTTTTATAAAAAAAGCCCATTTAAATAATATAAATTTGGAGATTTGCCAAATACACTTCATAATATTTATGAATGTGTGGTATTTCAACCTGACTGTAGTAATTTAAGAAATTCCAACTATCACTAAAAAAAAAAGTTTTCATTTTAATCAAACATAAAATCCCAACTTCACACTACGTCTTTTGGCAGACCTATATAACTTGCATGTCAGATATTATGCTGCATATATACTTAAATATATTACATAAACTTATGTTTATTAAATATTAAATTCTATCAAGGTCAATGAAATCACTCAAGATATACGACAACTAGATCAGGCCAAACAAAATTTGACCCTCTCCATTACTACCTTAAATCATCTTCACATGTTAGTTGGAGGTGTAGAATCTTTAGAGTAATTTAAACAAATAAATAAATATCTATTGCAGTATATGAGAACCTCATTATTTATTTTCAGCGGGGAAATAAAAATATTTTTTTTAGTTTGACATTATAGCAAAATTATAATTTACCTGGGTTTGATTTGAAAGCTAGTGGAAAGTGGCTTAATAGTCTTTTACTAGTACACGTTGTTATCAGCCAGTTTATGTGTGGCTCACTCATTGGGAGAATTTATAGTTATGAAATTGGAATTTGGTCAAATTTTTTTTTAATCAATTAAATCCTTTTAAAGAATTGGGACGTTTGAATCAGTCTGACAAATCAACGAGTATATTTTTATATTTTCTAATATTTATGGTCCCTCCCTTTAAGATTATCTTATATGTGGAATGGTGTATCATAATTTGAAATACTTTAGAATAACGAGGGAAAACAAAATTATTAAAATTATTTTAAGGAAGCTAATACCGCAAAGGAAATACGGCGAAATTAGCAATTTGTTCCAAGGCTTGTTAAACGTGCTTGACAATTTCCAGGGATGCACTGATATACCTCAAATTAAAGAAATGGCCAATAAGTTTATTTCGAATTTATTTATTTATTTTTATTAAAAAAAATAAAAAAAATATCACTTATCATGAAGTTTTGTTATTTATTTTTTCTTCTTCTTTACATAGCCCGTAATTCACGGCTATCGCGAATTTGGGACTGGTTTATAAAAAATCAAAGTAAAGTTAATATATTTTTATCATATTTTGTATACCTCGCCGCTAATTCGTGGTAGCTGTGAATGCAGGGTTTAGCAGTTTCAAAAGTAAGAGTGAGAGTCAGTTATCAAGGGATTGGTTAAAATCTATTTTTTAAAAAATAGCTCTTAAATTATTTGTAGAGTTTTAAAGAATTAAATTTTTGCAATGTTAAATGTCCGACAATTTGGAGCAAACCATATGACGTTAAATTTTAGATGTAGCACTGTAAAGGCAAATTTTTAAAAAATTTGTTTTTAATTAAGGGGTCCCTACCTTGGTTCGGATCATATGTCTACCTCTTAACATAAAAAATATTTTGGAAGAGTTTGGCAGGACACCCATAATTATAAAAGTCGGGAATATATATTCTTTTAAAATAAATATATATATTACACTCTTGGTCATCTGAATTTTCCTATTTATCTGGCCTTTGAAAAGACCCACGGATGTTAAATCACCAATTCGGCCCTCTTAATGATATTTTATAAAACTAATAATTTTTTATTAAATAATTATTTACATCATTATAAAATTTAAAATGCAATTCATAAATGTGTTCCCAAAAAGGAACTTTAATTATATTTAAAAAATTTCTATCTGTTTTTGTCGTATAAGTTATAAATTTTTAGCTTCGTTTATAAAACGCCGGATTTTTGTTCCTAGATTTTTTAAAATTTATAGATTAATGGCAAAAAATGGTATTTTGCGGAAGCCACTGGTGGAATTAATTGGAAGTTTTTATTTTTGTATTTGTCGATGTTTTTTGTTTCCTTGTGTTAGTGGATTGATATTTACGTTAGAGGGATTGTAAATAGATATGCCTCTTAGGTCTATAATATGAACACGATTATTAATATTGCAACTTTCCATAAATTCATATCATATAAATATACAGTGTATTTTGTTTAGGGTACAATCTTTGCGAAAAACGGTTGGTCAACAAATATTCGACGATTTCAAGAATAGCATGACTGGCCATGGGCCTCGCGTAAATTTAAAAATTTATTATATTAAATTTCTAACTATGTTTACCTAAAATGGAATTATTTTTAAATATTATAATTTAAAATATCTAAAATTTTACATCCACAACATGGAAGATTTTAGTCTAAAAAATATTTTAATCTTTCTCCTTATCTCTTCAAATTGCCTAAGAAAACATATGGCAACTTTTAATAGTATAAAAGATAGAAATAATGATTTTTTTTAAAAAAAATTGCTAAATTTTGACTCGATATCTGGTATAATGAGTCAATCACCCTTTTTATGGATTTTTCTTGTTAATATAAGATATTTGTTGAGAATTAAATATATATGACAAATCGAATTAGAACATACATATAGATAATTAGCGTGTCATCCTATTAAATTTAAAAAAAATAACCTAATAACCAGGTCCTTAACACGACTCATGAGTTGTACGACGCCGTTAGGGTCATCGATATCATGGACTCTAGTTTAAAGTAAATGTTTATATATATAATATTGTTTCGATTAAGTGAAAGTCAACAGTTTGGTCTGTCAGTTTTAACCTACACCCAACCTCTACAATGTTTTTTTTAGGACTGTTATTCTTTTTAACTTACACGTAATATTCAATATAATATATACTTTCTCTATATATAACCTTTATTAGAAAAGAATTTTTGGATTGGTTCATCAATTTACAACTGGCCGAGTACAACGTACTTTTTCAAGAAACTCAAGATGTAAACTAAACTGTGATTTGATTACTCTTGTATTCTCTCCTTTTTGGGGATTTTTTTTTGGCTAGTGATCAAAAACAATTGGGTCACCATATATCAATTTATTAAACAAAAAACGGAAGATAAGTAGAACAACGAAAGAAACAAGCTTAAATATTATTTTAAGCCATAGTTTTACGCATTATAAATATTTTTAAATTATTAGTAATTTCTATATTTCATAAAGATTTTAATGGTAGAAATAGATTTAAATAGGTGCATAAAAGACACGTCTGTTTTTTCTCCTAAAAAACTTATCTTATTCAGAGGTTAATAATAGTCACTACCAAGTCAACGTATTGCAATTTCTAAATACCAACCAAATTTGCTAAATACCGACCAAAATTTATTAAAATGTAATAAGACCCTTAATATTATATATTATAATGGAATCACATGGTCGAGTCCGGCCTCCTATATATCATCCCCCCCCCAGGGGTTCATTGCTGGGATTTGAACCCACAACCATCGGATTGGTAGGCGACGCTCTTGCCCACTAGGTCATAGAGGCTTTCCAAAAATCACGATTTTTCAAATAGATATTATAAATAAATTTGTTAGTGCCTCTCCAAATGAAAAATAAACTATACAAATTTGATTGGTATTAGCCTTAAGGTAGTGACTATCATTAACCAATATCTGACCTTCTTAACCCTGACTTCTTCCAAGTAATTTGTTTAAGAAAAAAAACTCCCACACTGGAACACGATATCTTTCATATTTCTAACCGTTGTGCCATAGCTGCCATTCAAAAAAAAACTACGATTTTTTTGTGTAAAAACATGTTATCAATCAGCCTGAGAAATTTCTAAAAAAAGAGATATATTATTCTAGGCCGTTCCATATTTGATCATTAGTCTTTTTTTCCTACTCCCACTATATTCCCATTTCAAACAAACAAACAAATGCGCAGGAAGGTTGGCTCGATAAAGTCGATAAAAGATTCACGTGGTTCAAGCGATACGGGAACGATTTTACTCAAAAATATTACGGCGTTTTTCCGGATAACTGGCACATTTTGAGCAAGATCGCTCTTCATTTTTGCCAGATAACCAGGTTACATTATTTTACAATAAATAATTTTCACGCCATGGTTCTGCTTTATAATATTTCATAATTTTTTTAAATTTATTTTTGGACAAAATTAACGTATGAGAAAGGAGAAAAAAAAGGAAGGTAATGGAAAGTAATTACGAGTAGAAATACAAAGAAAGAAAGAAATGAATGAATGAAAAAAGTAAAGAGAAAAAAATGAATTAAAAATGTTGTTATGATAAATATTGTAGACCAGCAGGACCGGGTACACGGGCCGGGCCGTATTTCAATTTTTTTTAAGTATACCTGGGCCAGGCCTAAAGAATTTTTTTTTAAAAGATATCCGTACACCGGGCTATATTTTAAAACCAAATATTTTATATTGTCATTATCAGCTATAAAAATTATAAATAAATATATATTTTAAAAAAATCCGTACCTCAACAGGTATCATAAATGTTTAATAATTTGATTGACATGCTTGGCCAAATGTAATTATTTGATTTCTTGAAACTTTTCATTTTAAGTTTAAAAAATAGATTTGTGATAGTCAGATAAGCAAGAATGGGAAAAAATTAGCTTGATCAAAAGGCAAGGCAAATTTTTTCGTGGTAACTGTTAAACCACAAATACAATTTTGATGAAGAGAGGTAGTGGGGGGTGGAGTGGTAAGCGGAAAATAATTCCCCAGAAGAAAAATTCCCTAATAATAATTCTTTGAAAATAATTCCCTGGAATTGATTTTCTTAAAAATTGTAAACATTTTTATTCTGAAGATTTTTATTTCGTAAATATATTTTATAGGGAATTTTTTCTCCTATGTTATTAATTTTGTAATATCTTAATAAACGGGGATTTTTTTTGATGGGAAATATTTCCTAAATTCAGGAGGAGAACGGTTATTTGACATCGCGAAAAATGATTTTGAAAGAAAATTATTTAGCGAAATGCGAAAATATATTTTTTTTTCTATAAAAAAAAAATAAGGAATCATTTGACCAAAGCTATGAGCCAAAGGTATTCGGAAATCGACGTAAAGCTCATACTTTTCGCTATTCAGAAAACCCAGGTTTTCGAAAATCTCTTGGCCGAAAAATTTGACACGGGCGATATGGAAGAAGATGAAGTTTTTATATTTAATTTTTGATATTTCTTCACACAACCCCCCTTCCCCACCCTCTAACCCCATCCAATTTTTTTTTTTTTTAAATCCTATTATTTCTGAAAATTTTCTTTTATAATACATTTTTTTTATATGGGACTTATTGTTGAATCGCAATGTTTGATTCGCCATAAATTTTCATGTTAAAGTTAACCTTTGAGTTGGGATTTTTTTTTATTATCTCGTTCTTTCTTTTCTGGAATGATATATCGCAACATAGATTTTGATTTTGCTAAAATAATTAGCTTGTATTATTTTGAAGGAAATTAATATAGATGGTAGAGATGCCAAAAATCCGTTCAATGAACCAGATATTTCTAGTTCCATTTCTGCTATCACGAGAAAGCCGCACACGCCTCACGCTATCTCTCCCAAATCATCGTTAACCCCGGTGGCAGGTAACGAAGATAAGGAACATAAATTGCTCAAGGTAAATTTTCAAAAAAAAACATTGTAGGGCGGATTTAGCCCGCCCACCCAGTCTCCGGATGGGCCTGCAGGCGAGCTAAAATATGTTGCGGGTGAATTTTGGCATTTCTATTAAAAATTATTTTTTTAAAAAAATTTCATAATATTGCATATTTTATAGGTTTAATTAAAAATACATGAAAATATAAATAAAGAGCCAACTCAACCATTAAAATAATTTTTAACCAGCAGGCAGGAGGGTTAAACAAAATTTTGAGATAAACAGGCAGGCCGGTGGGTTTGTAAAAATTATGAGGGGGTGGCCGGACTTCTTACCTCTAGTATCTCCTGATTCGCATAACTTTTTCAATAATTGGGGCTTATATTTTATCTTGTTTATAAAAACGGTAGAGGGTACTAATCAAAACAATACTTTTATGACCCTGATAAAATTTCTACAAAAAAGGGAGTTAGAAAACCAGGGTTTTATACCTCGACCAAAGGCCTTTAAAAAAACTTTACGGTCCCAAGTAGTGTTGTTAAACGGCTCAATTTAATCCCGTTTTGAATCAAGATTTTCGCCAAAATAATATTACGTAATCCTTGACATTTCCTTAAATATGTCTAAACCTTTCTACCATCTATAAGCAAGAATGTCTAAGTTTGCATAATTATTTTGGATGAAATATTTGGTTTACTCATTTTATAAGAATCGAGCCGTTTAACAACACTAGCCTCCAGATTCATAAGCAATTAAACAAAAAAAATTTTAAACACTCAATTAAGCCTCTAAAATGAAATCGCAACATTTTGAAACAATAATTATACATAAAAATTGTTTATCCTTTTTACTAAAACTTGTTCGGGTCCCTGGAAATTTTAAATGGGATCCTCTATTCTAGAGATTTTAATTGGCCTGTAGTTCCTAGATGTCTCAAGTTTTGTATTCAGTTCCAACCTGGTTAAAACTATTACTTATTAATGCAGCGGTAAGTATTACCCAGGATAAAATAATTTTTTAAAATTCTTTTTAATTCTAATTTATTTTCTTCAAAAATGATTAAAAATAATAATTATGCATTTTATACGCCATGTACTGTTAAACGCCAATTCAAATTAATATTTTTTAGCCAAAATATTGTTACGCGGATAACGAGATTTCGTTAATAGATGTCCAAACTTTTCTGTCATCTATAAGCAAAATCTCTAAGGTGCAGAAATCACGCCGTTTAACAACACTAATGCCATATTTGCGGATAAAATGGTCACGAAAAGCTTATATATATACATGTTTTTTAAAAAAAAACAATTTTTATAGAAGAAATCTCCTTATATTGGGGCTATATCGAAATGTTTCGAGGATCATTTGGACATATTTATCAAAGCACAAGATAGGTATACCCTATATAAATTATTTTATAATAACATCATTAACGCATATATTTTTTTTCCTTAAGGTTTTTAATATAATGTTTTTAAATGAATTTTGCCAGATTTTTAAAATACCCTTTAAAATGCAGGGTCGGGAAATACCAAATTTTGAACAAAAATATTATTCGATTTTTTCCTTCTTGGCTTTATACAATTTTGTTATATTTGCTTTTTAAAAAATTTTTTTTTTATACCTTTTATATTTATTACATTTTTTGAAATAATTATCATTTATTAGTTTTTTATAAAATAAGTATATAAAATTATAATTTTTTATATTATATTATTTATTAATTTATTATTATCAATGAACCTTAAAAAATATCTTTTAAAGATCGAATTTTAATTTTTTTATTTTTGAAAAAGGATTTGGGAATTTCATTCAAGAAAGAAGGAATGAAATAAATAAAGAATGTGAACCATTTTTAATGTAAAATTAAAATATTGGCCTAAATGATTTTTTCTAATTCGCGAATGTTTTATTATTCATAAAAGTTTTACGCATTGTAAAAATTTGTTTTATCATTAAAATCGATAAAATTTTACAGGAAAAATATAAAATATAGAATCAAACATTTTGAATTTTTTTATTGCAGAATTTAACAAATTTTTTTCAAAATTTAAAGGAAGATTCTGGACATATTTAGTATATCTCTCAAAACTCACGAAAGTTTTGCATTTTTTAAAGCTTTTGAGTATTTTTTTTATATATTTAGGACACAGCCTATAAAAGATATATTACAAAAATAATTGGGGTATGGAAACTTTGATCAAAAAATTTGAGCTTAAGCATTCTCAAAAAAAATCTTCATAGATCTATGTTTTTTTTTTATTTTTGAACAAAAGTTAAATTCTTGTTAACTGTTTTAAAATAACTGTTTTAAAAAAAATTTTTTTTTAAATATAATCCTATTTTAGAAACCTTAAGGATATGTTAGATCGCTTTACTCGAGACACTAAAGCTCTTATAAACGAATTGAATGCCACAAACTCCAGCAATGGAAATCCTTTCAACGCCGAAAGCGATAGTATAATACATTTTAAAGAAAAATATTACAATAAATTTTTCCATTGAATCAAGGAATTGCTTTAAATTTTCTTTTATAATAGGCTATGAGGCCCTTATTGTGCCTGATTTTTTTTGGGGGGTCCTTTTCGGTTTAAACAAAAATTAGATTTTTTACAGCTGACTCATAGACTGGCATAAGATTCTGAAGTATTCCAATTCGATTTCGGGCTAGTCGAACTCAGTTCATGTAAGGGAACACTTATTGTAAAATGTAAACCAATAAATTGGAAAAGTTTGGGGGAAAAAACAACACATTAAACGAAGTGTCATCTTATTTTTTTTATGTATTTATTTTCGATATCTATAGGCGCGCTAGACCCTTCTTCGACTGCTCAAAATTCTTTGAAGGAATCGATAGTACTGCCCAGCAGCGCTGACCTCTTCGTGTTTTACAAATCGTGCCTCATGCAGTGCGCTCAAATTAATGCTTCCAGGGCCATGCTAAACTTGGCCAACGATGTTTTCAAGATTTACCTTAAACAATACGGCAACCGAGTTTTGTTGGCTAACGTACCCAAGTAAGAAGTGTCCAATGGAGTATGTTTTAAAAATTCCGCTTTTTGGAAAGCGTTATAACCGAATGAATGGTGGAATATTATAAATCATGAGATTAATTTATAAAAAGGAAATAGGAAACGTGGATAAGGAAGGAAAGAAAATTAGGAATGCTTTAATAAAGGGTAGGATAGGAGAATTAATTTAATTATCTTTCTTTTTTATATGGAAATGATTATTTTTTTTAGTCATTAATTTATTCACCAAATAAATTTTTTAATTTTTGCAAGCAATCCTTCCTCCGCGTCTTCCGGAACCCTCTCAGCCACGGCCAGTAATTTACGAGAACTCGCTTCATTCCTCAAAGAAAATACCAACAAAACTTTGAGCCGATCCGAAATTACTCTCCTTTGCGTTTTCATTGGTACGGCCGAGTATTGTTGCGAAACTATTAAACAAGTTTTTCCCAATCACTTATTTTTTTATGCCACTATGCCGTTGATTTGATAAATTATTCGAGGCCCGTGAAGCCAAATTAGGGTTCAGACATTCAAAATTATTTGGTTGGGTATTTTGAGACCACAGACCAAACATAGACTACTTTATGGGCAACCCTTTGAACAGGGGTAATATGGACCGGAGGTGGGTTCATGTCCTTTTTAGGTTTCGATTTAAATTCCTGTTTTTAAAATTAGGGGAATACGGAGTAAGTTTCTTCGTGAGTGAGGAATAAAAAAAATTGGAGAAGGGACCCTGATCCGCCTTTAAATTATCGTCACAGTATACATACAGTTTATGACTGCGCATGCGCAAACATTAATTAAATATTTTATTTCGAGAAATTTATCGTCGAAAAAAATGAGATTTCATTGATAATTTCTCCTGATGCTTCTTCAATTCTAGTTTTTTTTTTACCGATTTCTTTAAATATGATATTTTTTTAAATTTTTTTATCATTTCGTTTTGTGGAAGCCTTATCCAAGGTCAATCAAACTTAAACCTTCATTCATAGTTACCCCGAATTTCGCGGCGAATTTTACAAAATACGCTGTATTTTTGTATTTTCCGTCTAGAATTCGCGCTAACTGTGAATTTAGGGTTATACCAGGTGCATATATTTATAAAACGAGAATATAATGATTTTAAGTTAATACAAAAGTAATACGACACTAGTCAAAAATAATGGCGTGTTGGAAAATATCTTAAGGAAACAGTTGACAGATTATTTTAATTTTAAAAAAAAAATTTAATTTTAACCAGGGATCCCGAATCGTTATAAAATTATAATGGTTACGTTTTGGTTACGGTTCTTAAGAATAGGTTCGGTTTAGCTAATTATAAAGGTTTATTACGGTTAGAATTTTTTTTTTATTGAAACAACACCATCTTCTAATTTATTTTTATTATAAGCATCTATGAATTATACATAAAAATAATATATAAGATTCAAAATAACTCATTTTTTAAATATATTATTTGAACGTATAAAGTAATATATTTTCTAATATAAATGGATTCCTTTTTGTTCGTTGTAACGATAATAACACAATTTTTTTCCCCGAAAAAGCCCTTTCTACAGAAACTTGTGTTGCGGGAACCCCCAGTACTATAAGAGCAAGTTTATACAATTCTGGATATTCAAATTATTTCCATTTCAAAAATATAAAAACTGAACCGAACCGTTTTTTATAAAGGTTCTTTTTAATCCTTCAAAAAATAATTATATCGGTTACGGTTATGGTTCAGATATTTATAACGGTTTATAATGGTTTAACGGTTCGTTACGGTTCTCTCCGAGTCCCTGATTTTAACTTAAAAAAAATTTGAATCAATTTAAAAAACAAACATATTGTCAAAAAAATGAATATTTTCTCATTCAAAATTAGTTTAAGTCTGTGTTTTAGATATCGAAAAATTTGATTTCGCAAAAAGAATAAAATCAGATTTTTAATTATAAATATTTTAAAAAAATGTCCAAAATATTTAGAAAATTTTAAATATGTTTAACATACGATTTCCTTAAAATTTTGAAACTTATGAAAAAAAATTTTGATATTATTTGAATCGAATATAAGAAAATAAAGATATATTAACTGTCGAATAATTTGTAATTATTCCTATAAACCCGATTCCTTTGACTCTATTTCCACAATAAATTATTTTTTAAAAAATTTTGATAATCTATTTTCGAATACAATTCGATTTTCCAATTCAATATTCGACGAATCACATCGAATACGAATAATGCAAATATTCGTTACGTATTTTTATAGAGTTGTAAAAATGCAGCCCTTGAACCTGCAAAATTAACAGCTGATTAAATATCCGCGATATTTAAAAAAAATATATATAAATTTTATCCTATTTATTTTATTTTTTTATATATAATAGTTAGAAACCAAGATGAAAGAAAAAATCGAACCTTCATTGGTCGACCAAGTTGATTTTAACGACGAAATCGATTTGTTTCAAGGGTATTTAACTTTAAATTTAAAACATTTTTAAAAGATTTTTTTTTCGAAGGAGGGAAGGAAAAATGACTAAAAAATGGAGGATGTTTAAGAAATCTCCCGCCCATATTTTAAAACTCGTATTCGTGTAACTAGTGATCAGCATCGGGCCGTCCGGCCCAACCCCGAATATTTTTAAAAATTATCCCGAACGAATTTATTTTTTTTGTTCTAAAAAAGCCTGCAAAATAAAAATGAAAAATTATCTGTCCGTCTTGCCAAGGCCGTATTTAAAATATATGTTGTTGTAATATGTAAATTTACTTCGAAATAAAATCGAGAGGTAAAGAAGTAATATTCAAATCGACTTGTTAAACAGAAAAACGAAACGAATTATTATATTATTTGAGTAAAGACGATGTAAATGAATAGGATATAAAAGTATATATATAATCGAGGATATTTTACTTGTTATTTTGCGAACTTAATTCTTAATCTGTCAATTTTAATTAATATTAATTTTATTTTGATCATGTTTTCACTTTATATTTAAGTATTTAATAAAGATTTAGTATCATATTTTAGTTCTAACGTTTCTTTATTTGACATATATGATAAATTTTAATATATGTTTCTTGCAAGAATTTTATAATATATCATTTTTAGGCCCGACCCGGCCCGTAATGAAAAAGCATGAGACCGGACGCAGCCCGAACCGAATTTTTTTTTAAAATAGTTTCGGTCCTTGATTTGTAGATCTCTATTTTCTAACATCTGTCAAGGTTATTTATCAATTTCGTTTTAGAGATTTTAAAGGTGAATAAAAGAAAAACTAATATTCTAAACTAAGCTTAAATTCTTCTTTTACTCTCAACCAATCGATGATTATTTATAAAACAAGTTGCTCATAATTCTTTTTGATCAATATACTAATTCTGTCGGAGTAATTTCGACTAGTCTAGTTTCCATAAATTCAATTCATAAAGCCTTTTTTTCTAACTTTACTTTTGGGAATATAATGTTTAGAAGAAACCTTTAAACATAAGTTCAAAGAATAAGTGTAGGATATGTGATATGTTTGGAAGTATTTATTGTTATTTTTTTTTACCGATTTGCAATAAAAAGGCTTTGTCTGGGATGACCTAAGATTTATGCTATTTTTTTTTTACATTTCATTAAAATTTTGATCAAAATCGTAATTAAATAAAGAACATATATAAATAAATATCATGGCTCTTTTATTTATTCTCTAGAAATATTTTGTTTAATCTGATTCAGAATCATTAGTACCTGTATCAATAGCCTGATTCAAGATTTGGAAGCTCAGTGTGAACCTTATCTAAATGCCATGTCCAAGGTTACTAATGTCTCGTTAATTGTTACTAAACTTTTAAATTTTTGCTAAAAAATAATATACATTTTGTTTCGTTTTTTTTTCTACTCCTTCCATATTAGACCAACTGGCTGAATTGTGAATCGGTTGGTGACCAATCTAAGTACGTTACCGGTATCGTAAATTGCTTCAAAATTAGTTTTCCGTTCATAAAATCTAACTTGACCAATTCTCGCAAATATTTCACCCAATTTTGTATACGATTCGTGAAGTTTGCCTTCTATATATATATATATTATAATTTTATATTTACTGCTTAATTATATTTCTAACTTACCACTTTTGTACAAAAATGATTTACGAATCAAAATCGTATCCTTATAAAGGAGCCCTCATGTATCCCCCCCCCTCCACTTTGCCATTTTAGAAATGATTGTTTTTATGTACTACTTAAATAAAATATAGTTTTTACGCTATATTAATAACCAGATATAAATTACTCTTGCAAAAAATGCGCATCTATGATAGTTACGCAACGGTATTATTATTATTTGATATTTTCGATATTCAACAGCAAGTTTTTGTTAAATAAGGATAATAACACTATTAAAAAATAATAATGTTAACTTGAACCGGAATGACAAATAAGCTAATTTTTATTTTATCAACGAAAAAAAAAACTATTACTCAACCTCATAAATTTTTTGAACTATTTTTTTTTGGTGTTATAAAAAAATAAGTTTTTAAAAGGAGAAATATTTTTGAATCAAATTTTTTACTTATAATAATAAAAGTTTTTTTTTTCAAACTCTGGTAAAAACTGACATTAACACCTATTATTAATAAATAAGTTGTACAAATATTCCATTAATTTAGAGTAATCTATTTCTGTATTGATTAGAGGGGGAAAAAATTTTTAAAAAAAATTACAATTAGCATCGTGTGTTAGAGAGAAGCAAGCCCCATAAGGACTGTCCCGCTCGCCCAAATATTCTCTCTTATTCGATCAAACTGGATTCAGGAAGAAACTCTTGCACTTTATGCTGGAACACCGATTTCGGGCAAAAATTTCTTAATTATTTTATTTTACCCAAAATTGCTTAATTATACTTCTTTATTTTCCTCTAACTCTTTAAAAAAAAAGTCCCGCTTAACCTGATAAATAATCGGTAACTGTCAATGAATTCTTATCACATTTATTACGTCCACAAATTTCGAAAATCATATAACTATTATATATCTTTTCTTACACATTAATTTCGGTAAAAAAAGGAACCTCCTAAATCTTGATGAAACCTTTGTTTCATCCATCCTTAGTTCTTCACAAATGTAAATAATCTTGAATTCATCCATCCATCCATTATCTTGCGCAATAATAAATTTCAAAATTTCAAAAGCACACCCTTTTAATTTTAAGTATTGTTACATTTAATTTTGCTTTAACATTTGAATATGCTATTTATTTATTTTTTTAAAAATATATATTCCCCTAAAATAATAAAAGTTCTTTCATTCCTAAATACCTGACCGCGCTTTACAAATGCAAACCTGTAGGTATGGTAGGAGCAGAACAACTATTGCTAGACACTCACAGCTTGAAAACCGTTTTGTTGGAACTCCCTTCCTTGGGTGCCTTCAATAGTAATAGTAGCAGTTTATCCGTTTCCAATTCGTATTCCAATTTTTCTAGCCTCAGCAATCAAGGTCAGGGGCAAAGTGGGATTAACGTTAAAAAACTGCCACCTGTTAGGTTCGCTATTATATAATGGCACTTTCAATTGATTGTTTAAATGGATTATAATAAAAATGGGCATTTTGTCATTCATAACATTTTTTTTAGAGTTATAGTGTCTATTGTCCTTTTTCAATGCTAGTTATACCTCGTCTAGCTCCACTAAATTAGGTAAGAATTTGGTAAACTAATTTATTCGTATGTCCAAGAAGCATTTAAAACGAAATTCTAATAAACTCATGTTTTTATTTAAAATATTATACTAATAACATATGATTCCCAAATTTAATCATGAAAATTAGTTACAAATGCAACTTGGACACTTTACGCTTAATAACATTAATACGAAATTTCACTCTAGCTTGGACGAGGTATAAGAATAGAAAAAATCACAAAAAAAGCTATATTAATTTATATACGTGCTATAAAATATATCCTATTAGACCATAGGGCATTGGTCCTTAGGTACATCTCAATTTTGAATTATTTACCTGGGGTAATTTTTTAAATTCGAAGGTTTAGGGAACACAATTTTATCCTTATGAAATATTTTTGTATTTTTTTTTAAATTTTATATTTTTTTAAAAAAAAAAATCTGTATAAAAATTTTAGTTTATAATGATATAAATTAAGAGTCGTTTAAAAAGTATCGCGACAAAGTTTTCCGAAAATAATAATGCATTAGAAAGCATCGTTGAATGCAAATCAGCTGGACCCGCCATTTTGGTAACCCATATAGTAATTGTTCTCATGTTAAAAACTACTATTAAATTGATAACTTGCTTCCTATGATCAGGCAATTCTTTAATAAAGTTTGCGTCAGACATAGGAATAAATCGACCTCTCGTTTAAAATTTTTAATAATGACGTGGGTAATTAAAATGGCGTCCTCAGCTGTCTTCATTATGTACACTTTTAATGAATACACCCTTCAGTCTAGGTATTATTTTATGTCATTAGCCTGAATACATTTCCGTCACATTTTTTTTTTTAATTTAGCAATCGATATTAAAATTAAGAAATTTTGAATTCCCATGAATTAACGCGATATGACATAAATGTTATTTTACATGGATGGTTTTGTAACAATTACAAATGTAAAAAAAATAAGGATCGTTAGTTTTCTAAAAGGAATTATGATGTTTTTTTTGGGGACATTAATATTCATAATTTTAACGCATTGTGTGAGAACAAATAACATGCTTGCCTTAATCTTCCAAGTCTTTTGCCTTTCATTATATATTAAAGTATTTTGGTCAAATTTAGTAAATAAAATTGTATCAAAAAAAAGTATTTATTTTAATTTTTTAATCAAATAGATTTATAAAGACAATTCTAATCTCAACCCCCCCCCCTTCTTCCTTCTACCTCCATTTTTCATTTACATAAAATAAATAATTACTAAATCAAAAGCTTCACCAAGATCGTTGTTAAGGGCATGACGAAGGCCGAAATGATACTGAAGGTAGTTATGACGCCTCATCAAGATTCGGTTCCGCTCTTTGTCGAAAACTGTCTCAAGCTTTTACCAGATTTGGAAGGTATCGAATTCCAAAAAATTCTGGATATCAAAGTAAAACTTTCTATATATTTTTTTGGTTAGATTTAGGTTATTTTCGAGAAAGGCGTGGATATTTTGTAAATTGGTCTTATTAGTTTTTTTAGTTTGAATCCCAGTTCTCCGAAACGGACAGAAAACTAGGGTCTATCAGACAGCTGGGCCGCTTACAAATTATAATGTCATTCGTATTGTATCTTATACTTGCTTAATTTCCTTTTCAACTTTCTTCTTAATTTGATCTATTACCATTCTAAATTCTACGATATGTCGAAAGACTTTTTTTAAAGTGATCATGTAAGAGACCTGGTTTGCCAAAATACTACCAAAATTATTCTAAATTACCTAAATTCTTGTAAATGACAGCCCATAAAATCATCAAAAATAAAAATTCGGTCCGGACTTTAAGAAATAAAAATCTGAGCATAAAATTTTGACCTTTGATATTCATTAAATATATAATAGTTAAATTATTATATTTCCATTAATTTTTTTTTATTCTCATTTTTCGTTCAATAATTTTTTATTATTACTACAAGTATGAATTAATTAAGTTAATAAAACACTTTGAAAAATTTTTTATTAATAACTAAGCAAATTAAATTTTTCTAATTTTTTTGGGTTTATATTAGGTAAAAACTTAGCCAGATAAAATATGATTTAAATTATTTATTAAGCTATATAATCTTTGCTACTAGCCTAATATATAATTCCTTTGAAATATCGTTATACTAATAAAAAAAATTTGGAAAATGTACATATATTTTATAAATATATTTTATAAATATATTTTTAAAGGGCATTAAAAGAAACGAGCAGTACGCTATAATAGACTGCTTTAGAGAACATAGAGCCAATTTTCAACAAAACGAAACAGAAAATAGTAATATTTTCATAATTAATTAAATATTCATTATCTAGATAAATATCATTACTTTTTTTTAAAAAAAAATTCTAAGTAAAATATATTATATACGCTTTTTATAATAATTCATAACAGAAATTAGCAATTCGAATTCAACCTCAAACGCCTCTTTACCGAAAGAAGAAACGCCATCATCTAATCAAGAAACGGTAATTAATGGTGGTAACAAAAACAGTAATAACATAGCCAGTACCGGGACGAAAGCGTTGACTTCTTCCCTCACGTCTGTAGCTAGCGCGAATGAATCAAATAAACCAAGTGGAAATTCGCTCAATTCGATGATTTTCTCCATATCTGATCCCAGAATTAAGAAAATTGAAAATTTAATCAAAAAGAAGATGTAAATAAAAATTGAAGGATGATTATGAATATTCCTTTAATCTTTTCGCGTCATTAATTAAAGATCATAACGGCTTGTAACCTGCATATTTAAGGCAAACGGATGTGATTATTATATTTAACAATATATCTTATATTTATTTATTGTGATTATCTTCAATTTTATTTATTTTTTAAAAAATTATTATGATTATGGGGTTATAGTTGTATCATTTAAATATATGTGTGTTCATTACTTTAGCATTACGATAAACAGGTTCATACTTTAATTATTATTATTTTTTTATTAGATATTTCTTATCACCACGCTTTTGATAAATACTATTTATAATTGTTCATAAAACAAATATTGCTAATATTTCTTTGTCAAATAGTTTTTTGTTAAACGGCAATTTATGTATGTTGTAAATTTTTTTTCTAAATAATGAGGATACTTGGCCTTATATTATGACAGGCATGTTCCAAAAAATAAGCCTAAATATGTAATATTATTTAATTTCACTTTATTTAATTAATGAATCTCTTGGAAATTTCCAAACAATTAATGATATTATTTGGATTTCTTAACCTTATCAGGTATGTCATAATGCTGTTAAGGCTAATTTTAAAATGCAGCTTGCTAAAGTTACAATTACTTTCCACAAAAAAAATATTGGCTTCCATTTCGCTGCTTTGTCAAAAAAAATAATAGCGCCATTTAGTTACTATTTTTTAATTGTATCGTTGATACCTAGTAGCTACTTTCAAAAAGTATGCTAAAATATCTCATTTCTTAGATTTTTAATAGTCATATGCTAAAATTTTAAATTAAATTGGGCTGTGTCGTTAAATATCGGATCGTTATCGATATTAAGCGTTTTCAAAAAAATATCTAATTGGACTGATATTTATTGAAAAACCGATCAAATATTTTTATCGTTTTTGGTTATTTTATGATTGTATATATAATCATATAATTTTTTTTTATAAAATAAACAATTTCTAATAAATTAATGAAAAGGAACTAAAATACTATTTATTTGTTGCAATGTTTTAAAAAAAATAGTTAAATTTTTACACTATTTCTTGTATTATTTGCAACAAGAAAATGATTTTAAGATGTCTAACTAGTCGCATTCATTCTAAACGATTCGATTTAGCATTTTTAAAAATGTTCAAAGATTTTGAAAAAAAGTAAATTATTCCAGCTTTCTGATTTTGCCCACAGATGGCAGAAAGCATTGGCGAAATTTCGTAGCTTAGGTAATAATATATAAGCGAAGAGCCCTTTTTAAAAATTAGCTAAATGAAGCCGTTTAGCAACACCACATTCGCCCGTCAACATTGCAAATATTTTAAATGATATTTAACTTTAGGAGAATAAAAAAAATGAAATGCACTTAATCATTCGTGTAAGTTAAATAAATGAATATAGTAAAAGTTTTTAGGAAATTCCTTAATTTAAGTTTTACTCATAGAATTCCTTAATAATAAAAGATCTACAAGACGTTTCTTATAAACGATCAAACTTTTAATTATAAGTTGTCGGATTGCGTTTAGCGATATTTTCTTTAGATTTCCAGTGATTAAGATATATAAATAAGATCAAAAAATGCCTGGTAAATGGGTCGATATAGTGTTGGTTTTAGTTATGGGACACAAAAATAAGATTAAGAAACTGGACACCGACCGAGTAGGAAAATAAGGGCATGCTCATGGTGAGTTTTGGCGCTCTTGAAAAATATTAATATCCTGAAACAATTCCAATGACTAAATTTGATAAACTAAGAAGTATTTACTATAAATTTTTGAACAGAATAAAAACATTTTTTGGCAGTCAATTAGACTTAATATTAATTAGGAACAACAATAAACCAATTGGATGTTCGCCAATAGGATCAATTAACTGCGAAAGCGTATTGTTTTGCGCCGACAGAAGTTGACGGCCATCTAAGAGATCGGTTGCGGCTACGAATCTGTCAAACTTTTAAATTGATTTTAGGACTAAATATCCGTTAGCACTGAATGTGAACAAAAAACCCCTGACATTCCGGTTTGTGCCTTATATGGTTAGAAAGAGCTCAGAACGAAATGACAATTATAAAAGACTTAGTGAATAGTCTAATCAATATTTATGCGCAAAAGATAAAATGTTTTAAGTGCCAAAAAACTGGACACTCCGAATCTAAACTCAGTGAAACAACACCTACCCTCACGTGATTCAATAAATAATCTTTGAACAGATGGATTAAATAAAATGGTAGAGATTACAGACAAAATAAATGTACTTGATATCACGGTCGAATATGATATGAGAGCAAAGGCTTCTATTATAGAATTCGAAGTTTGGGCAAACCGCAGACATTTGCCGCAAACCCAATATCTACCTATAGAGATATGCCCTTGGATCTAATGGGTGAAGACATGGTCCTTGTTCAAGTGGTGAAGGAAGTTCGTAAATTATCAACCATTATAATAAATTCGAATTATCTACCTCTGTTTGGATTGTCATGTATTTTATCATTTGGGTTTTAGTTGTTGAAACAGGTAAGCATTCAACAGGTTATCAAAACGAATTGGGTTCCCGTGGGCCAACCAAGACCAACAATAGCAAGTCGCTATTGGTATTGTTAAACGGCTGGTTTTTAGCCGATTTTAAAAAACTGTTAACTCAATAATTTAACCAGATAAATATTATGCAAGCCTGAAGATTTTGTTCAGGCAGGTCTAGACATATATTATAGAAATCTCATGACTTAGACAATATTTTTCTGGCCAAAATATTAAGTTAGTCATTTTAAAAATCGACTCAAAACGAGCCATTTAACAACACTAGTCGCTATCAGTCCAGCGATTATGGATCGTTCAAATGCAATCGGTGCCCCCGCGTGCCATGAGATGTCACTAACGAAAGACTCAATGGAAGCATTTTTCTGACGATACTCCGGGTTGATACGTAATTCCGTGGGTGCCTCCAGTTAAAAGTTACAACAGTTCGCAAACTGTTTCCAGCTCGTCAAGTGCCCTATATGCAGGTCGGTTGAACTAGAACTTGATAACTTTGTTGCTGCGGATATTTTGGAGCCAATCGATTCCTATACAACTAGAGTACCATGGGTGACCCTGACGATAAATATCAGAAAGAACAATAATGAGATTCAAATTTACGCAGATTTCAAGGTTAGTTTGAATCCCCATCTATTTCATCATGTTATTCCAACGTTGGGTGACTTGCTGGTAAATTTAGGGGGAACTCTATTTACAGTGATAGATTTAAAGTATCTATAATTGAGCGTGGAGCCAGAGTCCTAAGAATATTTGGTCATCTAAACGCATAAGTGATATTTTTGAAGCCGATTGATGCCTCGGGCTTTGGTGCGCCAACTATTTTCCAGCGTTTTAAGAAAAATTTCTTGAAAAACTCCCAGATAACAAAAGTTATCTGAACGATGTAATTAAATGGCAAAAATAACGCCTAAAATCTGGCTAATATAAAAATTAATAAGCGATAGGTTACAGGAATAAGATCTGAAAGCCAAATTTAAAAAAGTCAAATTATTCGGAATTCAGTTTCATTTTTAGGCGTCGTTATCGACGAGAATGGAATGCATCTAAGCGAGGAAAATGTAAAACAATCCGATCCACCCTTAATCCCAAGAATGTTAACAGGTACGTTCATTTCATCATAAACAGTTCGTTCCCAGTCTTCATAGAAAGGCAGCAGTGTTACACCGATTAACTAAGATAAAGGTACCATGATGTTGGATAACAGCGGAATAGGAGTTTTTTGACAAAATAAGACACTGTTATCAGCAGAAGAAATGTTACAATTGCTGTTAATTTTGGAGTGTGATGCTTCAGATACGGATTGTAGCAGTCTTACTTTCATGTTTCACAAAACCAATAAAAACTCAACGCATTTGCGTCTCGGACGTTGTTGCAGTCGGAAAAACATTCTGCTCCAGTTGATAAGGAAGAGAGAGCATTATAGTTCTGAATAGAAAAATTCTATAATTTTATTTCCGGTCGAAGATTTATACTTCAGACAGATCATACACCTTTAAACGGTTGTTTGGGGAAAAGAGGGGTCTTCTCAAGATATCAAACAATCGTCTTAACTCGTTGGACCTGGAAGATGGTGGGGTACGATTCTAGCGTGAAATACATACAGATCGGGTCGTGAGCAGGGTTGACATGTCTCCCCCCATCAGTGGGAGACTCCCACAATTTTTTAGTTTACACGCAGACCTCTCTCTCCCGCAAAACTACCGCAATTGGAAATCTCCCGTAAAAATCTACCGCAATTTTTTAATTTCTTCCGCAATTTTTTTTTTAGTATTTTACGTTTTTAATATATAAATAATAATTTTGAAAGACATTAATTGATTATTTTTATATTTTTTAAATAAATTATATATATCGTAAAACATGTCTAGTTTGTAAGTTTCTTTCTATCCTGCTTTATTTTTATCCAATAATAATTCTACATCATTTCATTCATATAAATCAGTACAGGGGAGTATATCAAGATCGATTGCAATACAAAAATATTCTCAAGAATAATAAATAATACAGATGCAACTACATTTGCGAAAATTGTATATATCTATCATGCATGTAGTTCAACATTCATAGAGCTATATCATCACAATGTGGGTCGAATCTTTTTCTCATGATATTTAACGACTCCAATATAAGTGCAAACCTTACTTGTGGTAAAACAAAAATGAACAAGGCTATCACAAGTGTTTTAGTATCTGAATACTAGAGGTCAATTCTAGACGATTTGAAAGATGGGCATCCATATGCAATTCTAACAGATGCATCTAATAAGGGAAATATTAAAACTTTTTCCTCGATCCTTCGCCATTTTAACAAGAATAAGAACATTTCAATAAACTGTTAAAATTTTTTCCTCGGATAGTGAAAAATCCAACTATGTAGCTAACCACATAATGGTAAATAAAGCTGATTCAGGGTTATCAATGATTTGCATGTCAGCTTTCTGCGCTGATAATGCCTCTGTAAATTTTGGCAATAACCAAAGTACCGAATTGAGGCATCACAATAATGAATTAATACCAATTGATTGTATATGCCATTAACTACATAATTCTTGCAAGAAGGCAATGAATGTACTATCTGTGGATGTCGAAATAATTGTGATGAAATGTTTTAACGAATTTAGTTCATCAACTAAAAGAGTTAATAAATTAAAAGAGTTGGTGAAGTGGTCTGACTTG